ATTGTAGAATCTATATATACAATGGATGTTGAAATTATTTAAAAATTAAACTTCGAATTTTTACTTGGTTATGCCCTTGCACTATTGAAATTTATAGTTGACCTCAATACTGCAAGTATATGTGTAAAAATCACGTAACTGCCACATTACGTGACAAGTCTAAATAGAAAATCTAATCGTCCTCAATATGTAGTTAATAACCATAAATACATTTGTCTGATATTATTAAAGCACTCAAAACAATCGCCATCCTGAAAAAAATATATTTTGTATCGTAAAAAATCGGCGATATTTCCATTGCACACCTTAACTGTACTGCGAGAGTAGAGTTTGGTGCGAATATGATGAAGACCTAACTGTTGATTTACAAAAGGTTACCGTAGTTATGAATCAAAAGAGACATCATGTATTAAAGGTTTATTGTAAGACCGATGCCCATGACAACGCTTACGTCTCTGTGTATGGTTAAAAATTCCCATCACATTTATATTGTTACACTGTGGACTGGAAAGATTTCCAACACTATCGACATTGTCATTACATCCATAGGGAAAGGCTGTCCCTAGTTTTCTAATCCCAAATTCTTCTCGTTGTCTACGGAAAGGTGTACTCAGTAATGGACTGTTTGTGTGGTGGTAAATCTTTTTTAGAATTCTAACTTTCATTGACAAAATAGAATGATCAGGTAAATTAAAATACTTGTATAAAAGCTGCTGACCCCCAACTAAAAACACAATACCATACTCCATGAGAAGGAATTGTGACTAGTTAAAAAATCCAAAAATGCCGCAATCCTAAAACATACAATATTAAAAAAATCCTAAACATAGTAATCTGACTAGAATAAAACGAAAGTTATTAGACGAGATAATCTGGCAAATGTCGTATACAAAAAGTGTCAAAGATGGGATATCTTTCGCAATCTTTCACTACAATAGCATAAAGCATGAAAAAAGGGTTATGACTAGTCCTACAGTTTAATAAATTCCAAGTACAATTCTATATAAAAAGTACAGTATAAGAAATCGTAAAAAGGCCTTGATCATGAGAGTAGAAAAATGTAAGTGGAGGTGGGAAGGGTGTTGTTAAAAATTTCCACGCTAAATTGTAAACATCAAATAAAATATGGCAAGTGACGCTACCAAGTTTCGCATGCGCAAGTTCCAAAAATATAGACTGTGGCGGTAAATATGAAAAAAGTATCCATTAATGTTTTATGTTCATAGACATGTATTTATGGATAACTGATAGGTAAGTGCTCAGTTTGACACAATACAACACAACATATTGTTTGAGGAATAAGAATGTCATCTATTTAACTAATAAATGACAAAGTATTGTGCCAAAACATAATATAAAACAATTAAAAATACAACCAACTAAAAACACAATACCATACATGTACTTCATGAGAAGGAATTGTGACTAGTAAAAATTTCCAAAAATGCCACAATCCTAAAAAATACAATATAAAAAGTCTAAACACAGTATTGTGACTAGATAAAGCGAAAGTTATAAGACGAGATAATCTGGCAAATTGTATAAACAAAATGTGTCAAAGATGGAGCTAGTATCTTCCGCCACAAATCTGGCTGTGGTTTGCTACGGTTTTGAATGCCCCCTCCTGTGACCACCCTATAAGATGATGCACTTAATAATGATTTTGGGACCTTAACATATACAAAGGGAACTAGCAAAAACAATGATTAAAGGACTAGGACGTTTGCCTACGAGCATGTTCATGTTTATTTAACACAATCAATTAAAAAAGACAATATTCAACTGAACTGGAAACTCATGTGTTCAAAAAATAATTCAACATAAGGGAGAGGTGAACCAGAAGCCCTTGACTTCAGGGTTCCTGTCAAAGTAATGAATCAAATGGTTGAGCCAGAAGCCCCTTACTTCAAGGTTCCTGTGTCCGAGTAAGGAATTACATGGTTGACCCGGAAGCCCCTGAATTCCTGGTTTTCGTCGGAATATGAAATACTCAGCTAACTGCCTTCCCAGTAGGACTGAAACACTTTATCACATTCATAGAGTTGGAATTCTTGTGTACTTTTGATATGCTGAAGTTTTCCAGCGACTCATATTTTGTATCTGTATATCCGATGACCCAGCATCTGCAGCTGTAGTGGCCGTCCCGATCTAAAAACAATGTGACTGTTCCTTATTAGTATCAAGTCCACAGTATGAAAGGGATAACTGAAGGTGTTAAGTGAAAAACTGACGGGGCACTGGAGTACCACCCATAAATGGAAACAAGGGTTCCCCGGGTTATTTGTGACCTCTAACCTTTATGAAAATTTGGAGAACTAAAAAGAGGCATAACAATAGATGGGCAGTATTTTGCTGAATATGCAGAGTAGTGGACGGATTAGAATGTTTAAAGTGTGGGATTTTACGTTCTAAGGAGTTGCCCAGTAGGGAGTCTTTTTTGTCCCCCACTTTGGCGAAATCGAGGGGACATTAAATTTCATTCGTCTGTCTGTCAGTCTATCCGTCAGTCAGTCTAGCTGTCCGTCTGTCACAAATTAAAAACTTCAACCTTTGTCTTAACTTTTAAATGATAGGAGAAAGGGCTTTCATATTTCACAGGTACATTTCCTGTGACAAAACCTTTCCAAATACTATGATACTACGATGACCTTGAAGTTTGACCTACTTTTGAAACATTTTAACATAGCTTTCAATTGGCTTAAATTTAACTTTTGAATGAAAAAAAGATAGGGTTTCATATTATTCATGTATATTACCTGTGACAAGAACTTTTTAAATATACTATGATTTTTTACCTTGTGACCTTGACCTTGAAGTTTGACCTACTTTTCAAAAAAATAATTTTTGCTTATAACTTTTTATTTGAGAAGAGATAGGATTTTCATATTTTATATGTGCATTACCTGTGACAAAGTCTCTCCAAATATCTATGATTTTTGACCCCTTGATCTTGATCTTGAAGATTGACCTACTTGTAATGAATGGTAGAGCAGACAATTTTTGACTTGAATGTTTTGAGTTATGGGTAAACGATTGTTCATCGTTTATTTAACTTTGCTAAATCCCTGCAATTGTTTTTAACGAGAAAGTTTTGAGATCTTGATAACCCCAAAGTTGTGGCATGTGTGTGTGGGTAGTTGAAGCGGCTAAGCCTAACTGATAGCAATGTGCGATATAGAGCAATAAATGAAAAAGAGATGGTGGTAATGGATCTGCATTTCTAGACAGTAAGGAATCCTCTGATCATAAACTCCTAATAAGGAAGTCTGCTGTTCTTGTCAGAGGTGTAGATGTGCATGAGGAACCACTATTTTTCCATTTCCATGTTGGAAAAAAGTTTTTGAATCTTTGTATCTGAAATCAACCGAAAGAGGAGATCGGGTGCAATATTATGAAGGCCTGCACTACTTTAATGATTTTTCCCTTATTAAAAAAAACCCCTGACGTTCCCCTGTCAGTCCCTGACATTTTTCTGTCTCCCTCTGACTTTCTCCTATGATCCCCTATTATTGTTCCTGACCACCCTGTCTATTCCCTGACGTCCCCTGACTTTGCCCCTATTACCACTGTCTAACCACTGATGTACCCTGACATTCTCTGGCGTTCCTGTCAACTCCCTGATGCCCCCCTGACCACCCTGTTCACTCCCTGTCGTTCCCTGTCATTCATTTTGACCCAGAAAAAAGGTTACAATATGTTCTTGTTGCTATTTATTGTGATCATAAGAAATACGTTACTCTTGGCAATTCTCAAGATTTGTGAAAATGTTCATTTAGTTAATAGTTATTTGTTATAATATCTTTAGTAATTTTTTGCTCAATATGATTGTATTTGATTGTTTTAGTTTAGTACATGTAGCTTTTTAGATAAATCTTAAGGAAAATAAATGCCGGTTACTTTGAAAAGAATGAATTACCAATTTATTGCGTCTTGTATAGCATGAATGGCATGTAAATAAATTTTTTCTTATTCATTTATTAAAGCGACACCGTGACGCATAAACAGGAAAATTGACAAACATAGAATTTTTGCATGACCCGTGCAAATTTTGTTCAATTCCCAAAAGTATAAGGTTTCAGAAAATTCCAGGTTTCGGAACATAAAAAATCCACTTTTATAGAGAAAATTTTTTTTTTTTTGCATGGCCCAACATGAAAATATTGCTTTACTTCTTCCTCCTTATTGTACGCGTGCGCAGAAAAATTGAAGAATTTACCAAGAGAAGAGTTTATCCTTTTTCCTCTGAAAAACGGGAGAGTTTATAACTTAACCCAGTCAAGCAGATTGCACTGGGTTATGTAATAGATTCTACCCTGAAAATCTGAATATAGAAATAAGAATTCATTCTCATCAGTTATCACTGATCTTCATATCGACAAATGCACCGAAAACATGCAATTTCTTTTCATTTTGCAATGTGTGTGTGTGTGTGTGTGTGTGTGTGTTGTCGTAACGAAGACCTGGAATACATGTATGTTGTGCTTTTCTTGAACTTACTTGTAAAACTACAAAAAAAATGCGGTCGATTTGATGCTTTGCATCAATTTTACTTACATCTAGATTCTGTAGTCAAGACACAAAACAACCTGCAATTCTTTTTTGCATTAATCTAACATTCCCTGGTAAATGTACATGTATCTATACTGCGCGCTAAAGCGCTCATGCATGAAAATCAGTTTTCTAAAGATACGAAGATTCACGGAAGGTATCGAAACTAAAAAGTTTAACGTAAAGAAATAAATTGCAACAGACCTTAGAAGTACTTCCTTTTTAAGCTCACCTTCGCTGATGTCTCAAGTGAGCTTTTCTAATTGAACTTTGGACCATCCCTCTAAAAAAGATCATCCCATCTAGAAACCTTAGGCCAAATTGACTTGAATTATATGACTCATATGCTTAAAAGTTTAACTAAACTGAATTGCATGCTTGCAGCAGTTTAAACAATTTCTGAAAAAAGAAAGATTTAAACTGATATATTCATTCGAACACTTAATTTTCAGGAAAGCCATTTTCCCCTGAAGATGTTAGTGTTACTTGTAAAATACATGATGCTATAGTTATTTGGACCAGCAGTTTGGATGGTGGCTCACCACAGAATTTCAGTATTAAATATAAATCCTTGAATGACAGGAATTATCAAGAATACAGGAGGGTCATCTTAGACAAAGGAAAAGGTCAGAAGATAAATGTAACTGTCGACAATCTTAAGCAGGCTTCAGAGTATGTCTTTGTTGTGATTGCAAGGAATAATTTTGGGGCTACCTATTCTATGGAAATGCCAAACTGCACAACAGGATGTAAGTTTTTTAAACTGTATAATCCTTTTGTATTAGATTTGATATCTCATATTTTAGTTCACCAGAGACTAATGCTCAAGTGAACTTTTCTTATCACATTTTAACCTTTGTATGTCCATCTGTCTCTCCGTCTGTATGTAAACTTTTCACATTTTCGACTTAGAACTACTGCGCCAGATTAAACCGACCGGTACGAAATACTTGGGTGAAGGGATTTAATTTTTTTTTTTTAAATGAAGTGCAACTCCCTTTTCCACGGGGAGATAATTAAGAATTAGTAAAAAAAAGTAATATCAATGACATTTAATAAAAATCTTTTCCATTACCACTGGGCCAGAAAAAATAAACATGTCAAAACATCCTCAAAAAGTGTTGATTCAGTTTTGTTTTGTTTTTCAAATCATGACTGCGAGGGTAGGGTGGGTCCACAATGTGTTATCAAAGTTTCACACAGGAATGGGGGGACTTTAAAATCTTTTTCTCAAAAGTCAATTGCCAGACAAAAATAAAAATCATCTTCAGGTATTGTAGATTCATTCAATTCATGGCAACCAGGAGTCGGATAGCGCAACAATGGGTGATCAAAGTTTACAGTGGATTTATTGGAAAAAATATTTTAAAATCTTGTTTTGAACAGCAAAAAGAATATTAAGTAATCTTGATATGCATGAAACATTCTCAGATAGTGAAGATTCAAATTTATTTAAATCATAACCCCCCAGGAGTAGGGTCTGGCAAAAATACGCGATCAAAGTTTAAAACAGAAATATATAGGGGAAAATATAGGAAAAAACTTCAGGACCTGCCTGCGTATACTAGTAAAAATTAATCAATTTTTTAATCAAAATTTGGAAACACACACTTTGCATACGAGTATTATTTAGGGTTTTTCATTTTCAGGCGAAAAGCACTATTATTGTCCTCTTGTTTTATTTGGGTTTTTCGATTTTAGGCGAAATGCCATTTTCTGATCATCTTGTTAGATCTTCGGACTTCCTTCTGTAGACCTTGCTGTTTTCTCTTTGTTCCTCATTACCATTATTTCCTTTTTATAGAACACGAAATTTCTCGGAAAACAGTTGACTCTTCTCAAAGATTTTTCTTTTCAGGAATGATGCATTCTTTTCCTATCACAAGATCATTTTGGGGTGGGGGGGGGGATAAAAATTACATCCGGTCGCATTTTTTGTCCTATTTTCGATTTTCAAACATTCATTTTGTCCACACAATTTCCTATAAATGACTTAAGATAGAATCTTGAAATTTTCAGGGAAAATAGAACATCTCTCGTTTTTGTATCCGTCACTTTCTGTCTACAACAGAAGTGATATTAACTTTAAAATTCAAAAAAAGTTTTTGTATAATGTCATATGAAACTAATGTTTACATTAATAATCAACAATAAAAACAACCCATCGAAAGTACTTCCGATGTAAACCGGAAGTTGTAGAAAAATGAAGCTTTTTCTCTAAAACATTAGAAATAGTATAAAATGATTTGTAATTATGTTCCCCAAACGAAGTTTGGGAACATTGTTTTTACTCTGTTTCTTATTATGTTCCCAAAACGAAGTTTGGGAAAATATTGCTTTTACTGTTTCTTAATATAAATAAGGTCTTCCATTTCAGATGGAAGACTTCACAGTGATTCCATTGTTTTTTTTTTTTTTTCTTATTAGGGTCTTCTATCTTCTGCGGACAACCTTTTCTTATTCTATTGTTGATTTATCACATTTCTTATTAAGGTGTTCCGACTTCCTTTGGAAGACCTTTCTGTTTTCCATCTGTTTCCTATTACATGTATTATTATTTTTCCCTTTTCAAAGTACACGCAATTTCTCGGAAACTAATCAACCAATTTCAAAGATTTTTTCAGGGACAATGCATCATTATAATATCTCCAGACTTTTTTTTTTTTTTTTTTTTTTTTTTTTTTTTGCATTTTTTGAAAAATCACTTCTGGTCGCATTTTTTATCCGATTTTCATTTTTCAAATTGTCAATTTGTCTACACGTTTTCTTAAAATCGACTCAAGATAGAATTATGATTTTTTTCAGAGGTGATAGAACATCTCTTTGATTTGTGTATTATGCCTTTTGTTTTTGCATCCGTCACTTCCGGTCGACAATGAAGGTGATATTTAATTTATGGATTTTTAAAAGAATTGAACAGTTTTGAATAAAGACATATAGAACTTAAGTTCAAATGTTTAATTGACAACAAAAACCATCCATTTAAGGTACTGCCGGTTTAAACCAGAAGTAGTCGAAAAATAAAACTTTTCCTTTAAAATCATTAGAAATGGTATAAAATGGTTTGTATTTGAGTTTAAAGGTTTTTAATGGCTCTTAGACTTTCGGCATCAACCGGAAGTGACGTCCTAACGGCCGGAAACGTCCGAGTTGACAGCCGAATATTTTGAAAAAAAATGATTTTTGGTCCATTTTATAGAAATTTGCCTAAATTTTAACATTATTAGGATAAAAAAAAATTATATATTACTTTCGACGTCCGCCGTCCGCCGGAAGACCTACTTGTTGCTTTGCAACGAGCTTTGCTCTAGTTATTATTTTTTTCCTTCTTAGGTCACCTGAGTAACTCAGGTGACCTATTGCTATCTCTTTTTGTCCGTCGTCGTGCGGCGTGCGTCGTCCGTTAACTTTAAATTTGTACATTTTCAGCTTCTTCTCTGGAACCAGTGAACCAATTTCAACTAATTTTAACATATAGCATCTATGGGAGAAGGGGAACAAAAATTGTGAAATTCGTGGCCTGAGGGGTGTGGCCAAAACCATCAAAATTAATGCAATCTTTAAAAATCTTCTTCTTCACTACTGGACATCAAGCAGTCAAACTGTTAGCATGATTATAAAAAGCATTGAGCCCTCTATCAAAATTGTGAAATTCATGGCCTCAGGGTTAGGGGTTCTGTAGCTAGGGCGGGGCTATATAGATCATACAGTGAAAGTGCATTATTTTTTTGAAAATTTTCTTCCCTGCCCCTGTGTATTATATAAAAAAAACCAAGTACATTTTATGATACGGAAGGATGCCTCTTCCAAAATTGTGAATTTCATGACCCCAGGTTCAAGGGTTCTGGTGAGAGGGGAAGGGGTGGGGGGCTTCTATTGATTATAAAGCGAAAAAGCAAAATTTCTTTGAAAATATTCTTTTCTATTTCTGGTGAAAAAGCAAAGAAGCTAAGTGTATAGTTATGATCAGCAAGAGTGCTTCTTCCAGAGTAGTGAATTTCATGACCCGTGGGTCAGATGTGCTGGTGTAAGGGTAGGGCTCTTGATAAAATAGTGGAAATGCATTCATTCTATTAAATAATCCTGTTTGCTCCTTAGTGTTAAGCGATTAAACAAAGTGATTAGTTATGATGAGCAAACTTATGGTCCCAGGGTCAGAGGCTCTGGTGTTTCTCGCAGAGGGGGGGGGGGGCTTTATTGATAACATAGTGAATCTGTAGTAAAATGCATCATTTCTTTGAAAATCTTCTCTGCACCTGGGCAGATCAGAGGCAAATAGAGTAAAAGTTTTAAAAGGATTTTTGAATATCTGGACCATTTCGTCAAGTGTTCTGGTCCTGGCCAGGGCTCTATTAATTTGTATTCTACTGAGAGCTGTTATTCCCCTTTGCCATTTACTTTTGATTATTAATCACTGTAAATAGTGTACTTGAAAGGTAAATAGAATAAGAGAATTATGCAAGATTTTTTATTGTATAATACAAAAAGTACTTTCATAGTTTTAATGATCAGGTAGACTTGTAAGTAGTAGATAGATAAAAATGAGACAAAAATGACTTGTCTTTTTATATGTTCATGAAAGACCAAGAGAGGTCAATGTAAGAAATTAAGATAGAGATTAAAATAGTACAGAAACATTGATAATTTTTTAGCTCACCTCAACGAAGTTGGGGGAGCTTATGTAATACCCTCGGCGTCGGCGTCCCAGGTTAAGGTTTTTGGAGCAGTTTTCTTTTCAAGTACTTCTATGGCCTATATTAGTCAGAGATGCATGGAGGATGCTTCTAGTGTGTTTTATTGTACCAGTCAAGGTTTCAGATGCTGCAATTGCAGCTAAAGAATGACCAGGTTAATGTTTTTGGAGCAGGTTAAAGTTTTTGGAGCAGGTCTCATTTCCAAGTAACTATAAGCCCTATATTGACCATCCTTGCATGGATGATACATCTAAGGATGCACACCACTGAACTTGCTTCGGATGCTGGATCTGACCTACATTTTCTGGATGAGTGACCAGGTTAAAGTTTTTGGAGCAGATGTCATTTCCAAGTAACTATAAGCCCTATATTGACCAGACTTGCATGGATGATACATCTAAGGATGCACACTACTGGACTTGCTTCAGATGCTGGATTTAACTTACAATTTCCGGATGAGTGACCAGGTTTAAGTTTTTGGAGCAGATGTCATTTCAAAGTAACTTTAAATCCTATATTGACCAAACTTGCATGGATGATACATCTAAGGATTCACACTACTGGACTTGCTTCGGATGCTGGATCTGACCTAACTTTTTGGGATGAGTGACCAGGTTAAGGTTTTTGGAGCAGATGTCATTTCCAAGTAACTATAAACCCTATATTGACTAAACTTGCATGGATGATACACCTAAGGATGCGCACTACTGGACTTGCTTCAGATGCTGGATCTGACCTATATTTTCCGGATGAGTGACCAGGTTAAAGTTTTTGGAGCAGATCTCATTTCCAAGTAACTATAAGCCCTATATTGACTAAACTTCCATGGGTGATACATCTAAGGATTCACACTACTGGACTTGCTTCGGATGCTGGATCTGACCTACATTTTTGGGATGAGTGACCAGGTTAAGGTTTTTGGAGCAGATGTCATTTCCAAGTAACTATAAACCCTATATTGACTAAACTTGCATGGATGATACATCTAAGGATGCACACTACTGGACTTGCTTCAGATGCTGGATCTGACCTATATTTTCCGGATGAGTAACCAGGTTAAAGTTTTTGGAGCAGATGTCATTTCCAAGTAACTTTAAGCCCTATATTGACTAAACTTGCATGGGTGATACATCTAAGGATGCATACTACTGACTTGCTTCGAATGCTGGATCTGACCTAAATTTTTTGGGATGAGTGACCAGGTTAAAGTTTTTGGAGCAGATGTCATTTCCAAGTAACTATAAGCCCTATATTGACCAGACTTGCATGGATGATACATCTAAGGATGCACACTACTGGACTTGCTTCAGATGCTGGATCTGACCTATATTTTCCGGATGAGTGACCAGGTTAAAGTTTTTGGAGCAGATCTCATTTCCAAGTAACTATAAGCCCTATATTGACTAAACTTCCATGGATGATACATCTAAGGATGCACACTACTGGACTTGCTTCGGATGCTGGATCTGACCTACATTTTTGGGATGAGTGACCAGGTTAAGGTTTTTGGAGCAGATGTCATTTCCAAGTAACTATAAACCCTATATTGACTAAACTTGCATGGATGATACATCTAAGGATGCACACTACTGGACTTGCTTCAGATGCTGGATCTGACCTATATTTTCCGGATGAGTAACCAGGTTAAAGTTTTTGGAGCAGATGTCATTTCCAAGTAACTTTAAGCCCTATATTGACTAAACTTGCATGGGTGATACATCTAAGGATGCATACTACTGGACTTGCTTCGGATGCTGGATCTGACCTAAATTTTTGGGATGAGTGACCAGGTTAAAGTTTTTGGAGCAGATGTCATTTCCAAGTAACTATAAGCCCTATATTGACCAGACTTGCATGGATGATACATCTAAGGATGCACACTACTGAACTTGCTTCAGATGCTGGATTTGACTTACAATTTCCGGATGAGTGACCAGGTTTAAGTTTTTGGAGCAGATGTCATTTCAAAGTAACTTTAAATCCTATATTGACCAAACTTGCATGGATGATACATCTAAGGATTCACACTACTGGACTTGCTTCGGATGCTGGATCTGACCTAACTTTTTGGGATGAGTAACCAGGTTAAAGGTTTTGGAGCAGACCTCATTTCCAAGTAACTATAAGGCTATCTGAACCAAACTTGCATGGATGATGCATCAAGGGACGAACAATCTCAGACTTGCTTCGGATGCTGGATTTGACTTACATTTTCTGGATGAGTGACTAGTTTTAAGTTTTCATATAAATCTATTCCCAAGTAACTGTAAGCCCGATCAGACCAAAATTGCATAAATGTTGCATCTAGGGATGCACACTCCTAGATTATTACTTTAGTGTGGGACTTTGCCTTACTTAAAGACAACATTCGTTGAGGTGAGCTCTGTAATCTCTGATTACCTATGTTTATACTGTATAGTGAGAGTGATAAATGGGGAACAGGTTTGAACCTAATTTATGAACTGTTTATGAATATTAAGACTAATTATTTTGTTGATCCTGATCACCCTATTTTTCTTGCTTTTGGGCAACAAAGCTTCACCTTTCAGTTCATTTTATACTCTTTGCATCCTTTAAATTGTTGTATTATAGTCAGGTGACCGTTAAAGCCCTAGGGCCTCTTGTTTAAGGTCTTCCGTTGGAAAGGAAGACCTTCTACTGATTCTGATGGTTAAGATTATTATTCTTTTTATGCCTCCGTAATCGAAGATTCGGGGGAATATAGTTTTTGCCCTGTCCGTCCGTCTGTCTGTCTGTCTGTTTGTCCTCAAAAACTTTAACCTTGCCCATAACTTTTGATTGGTTGGAGATATGGCTTTCATATTTCACATGTGCATTCCTTGTGACAAGTCCTTTCTTTGAGTACCACAAAATTTGACCTTTTGACCTTGACCTTGGAGTTTGACCTACTTTTGCTAAATTTTTTCAGACTTTAACCTTGGCAATAACTTTTGAATAGTTGGTGCTAGGGCTTTCAACCTTAAGATGTGTATACCTTGTGACAAGACCTTCCTTCGGATACCAACAACTTTGACCCTTTGACCTTGACCTTGGAGTTTGACATACTTTGAAAAACGTTAACCTTGGCCCTAACTTTTGAACAGTTGGCGCTAGGATTTTCATACTTCACATGTGCAATCCTTGTGACAAGACCTTCCTTTAGTTACCAACAACTTTGACCCTTTGACCTTGACTTAGGAGTTTGACCTACTTTTGCAAAACTTTAAGCTTGGCCATAACGTTTGAACGGTTGGTGCTAGGGCTTTCATACTTCACATGTGTAATCCTTGTGACAAGATTTTCCTTTGGATACCAACAACTTTGACCCTTTGACCTTGACTTTGGAGTTTGACCTACTTTTGAAAAACTTTAACCTTGGCCATTACTTTTGATCAGTTGCTGCTAGGGCTTTCATACTTCACATATGTAATCCTTGTGACAATTCCTTCCTTTGGATACCAACAACTTTGACCCTTTGACTTTGGAGTTTGACCTACTTTTGAAAAACTTTAACCTTGGCCATAACTTTTAAACAGTGTTAGGGCTTTCATACTTCACATGTATATTCCTTGTGACAAGACCTTCCTTTGGATACCAACAATTTTGGCATTGACCATGACCTTGGAGTTTTTGACCTACTTTTTAAGAATTTAAACCTTGGCCATAATATTTGAACGTTTGGTTCTAGGGCTTTCACATTTCACAATCATGTGTATCACTTGTGACCAGACCTTCCCTTGGGCACCATTTGACCTTGACATTGCCGTTTTACTTGCTTTGAGAAAACTTTAACCTTCACCATAACTTTTCAACTGTTTGTACTAGGGCTTTCATATTTCACAGGTATATTTTTCGAGAACCTTTCTTTAGGTACCAACATTTTTGATTTCTTGACTTGGAGTTTAACTTGCATTTGAGAAACTTTAAATTTCGCCAGAAGCTGCCATACGGGGGCATCAGTGTTTCACAAACACATCCTGTTTCAAATTCGAATAAACCAGTCTACTAAAAAAGGAAAAAAAGATAACCTTTTCTTCTTATCATATAAAAACAAACAATGTAGTGAGAATATAAAACATAACTTTGAAGCATAGACTATTCACAGCCATTAAGTGCACGCCTTTTACATTCACCTTGTGTGTTTACAATTATGTAACACCTCCCTCGATAGCGCGTGGCAAAGGAGGTCAGCGGGGATCAATCGGCGTGTGATCAAGTGACCTACGGTGATACACCAAAGAAACCATAGAATGGTCATTCCAAATTCATTAAAGGACTTGTCCCATGTTTCTCAATTACTTGAAATTAAAAGCGTATTATGTCCCTTATGATCATAGTTTATAAATTTTGTTTTTATTGTGGAGATAACGCAGTAATTAAACATTATTGATTAGAATACAAACCCCTCAGTTAAAAATTCAAGTTAATTAGATAGCGATCATGTGACCATGATACGTCATATGCGACAATGGCTGATCAGATGTTTACATTAATCTTACCAAAGTGTACGCATTGCAAACTGGATTTTTTGCGTTATGAACGATAAATCACTGATTTCATCTGTATGAAGTTAAATACTCAACCTTTTTGTTTGAAATGTTTCCAAGAAAAAATACGAAAAAATATATGTAAACATGCTAAATTACCTGTTAACAGTGATGATTCAGCGAGGGAGACTAGCGAAGCATCCACTGTTAGCGTAGATTTAGTTTTATTATAATCCTGGCCCCTGTTTATAGGATGGGGCAACGAAGAGAAAATCAGAATTTTACATAGGACGAAGAAGAGCAAGACCAAACTGACTCAGTTGACAAATGTGGTCCAGTGGCCTCTTGTTTTAATCATAAAAATTGTTTTATTTTGGCTATTAATGTGATGTATATTTTTACAGATGTTAATGTGGAGCAAACTGGGTCCAGTGAAGCATTGATTGGAGGATTAGGAGGAGGGATAGGAGTAATTTTTGCATTAATCGTAGTTGTTGTTGTTGTGATTGTGAGCCGTAAAGGAAAACCATTTGGTAAGTATATGATTTATTTTTTACTTCACCTAAATGGATTTTTTGTGAGCTTTTTTAATCAGCATGTTGTTTGCATGTGTTTTTGATTACATGTGTTTCTACAGAATCTTCTCAGGAAGAATATGGAAAAAATTCAGAAATATATTTTCATATACGAGGGTTGTTTGGAAATTTCGTGGACCATGTCAATCTTCGTTATACTTTTTTTTCAAGAAATTTAAAATGAACAGGAGTAAAATATGTAAAAGTATTTATTTTGTTGATGTGTGATTTTCTTTTCATGTGATTTAATAGAATTCGTGTTGCTTAATTTAAAAATCAGCATGATTGTTTTGTAACCACGGAGCAACTTCAAAACATTTTAACGTCAAAAACATAGCGTCATGAGGTTCTCAAATTTTTTCTCTCTACATTAAACACAGTATGGCACATTCCCTACTCATTAAAAACGGGTCTCTATCAGTGGCATTCATTTTGCTAACAATTGTTCCAGTACCATAATTTTGTTTGTCAGTGTTATATTTTTTCGCGTAGCTGTGCTTTTCCAAGATCGGCGATTGTGAAGTTCCTATCTCTTTCCATGACACTAACTTTTTTTAAAGTTTTGATAAGATTTTTACAGATCGTCCGTTTTCTCAAAGATCGTCAGTGATGGTACATATTGTCGTTCTGTACATAGTTTCGTGGGCAACAATAAGTACCTACCCCCACCGCACATATTGTCGTCCGTCGGTACATATTGCCGCCGGGTGTATGGTTGAATATTGACCGGAGTTGAAAATTGACCCGGGGTTCATTTTTCAATGTTGAATATTGAACCCTGGGTGCTTTTTCTCCGTTGAAAATTGAGACCAAAAGTCGTTGAATTTATACCCGGGGTCATTTTTCAACAGTTTGAAATTTTTTTCTAATCTCGGATGACCTCAACACGTTGAAAATTGACCCTGTTGGATATTGACCCCCACTCAAGAGTTTGACTGTCTTTGAACTGGGAAGTTGTTTTATGGGATTAATCAGTATCTATATATTTATATTTCGGTTTCAAATTTTTCCCTTTTTAAGGATAATAGAAATAAGCATATCAGCCCGAGTATATATGTACATTTTTTATCAATACACGATTACACTTATTTTCATGCATGACAACCTTACTTTTGACATCACTTTCTAAAATTCATAGCATTCATAAATAATTACATGTACAAATCTATGAATAGGCTATAAAACAAAAAACCCTGGAAATTCCAGAGGTGGAATCTGGTATCTAGAAAGTGAGCCCTATATATTGATCAGGTGGGCAGAACATTCCATCCAGTCAAATTCAGTACAAGAACAAAAGCAAAAGCTTTACAATTAGCACGAAACACATAAGCCAAAATAAATACAATGATTTCTATTCCATTAGTTATTATTTTTATTACAAAAAATGTGATTCCTTTTCGATAATTTGTCATTTCTATTCGATAAATTGCTATTCCTGTTAGAAGGAATATGATACTCAGGACCCCTGGCTTGCGAGGATGGTAGTTTTTGGACTTTCACAGAGAAAAAATAGATTGTTCTAATGTGTGTGTGATTCTTTTAACAAGAAGATTATAACCTTTGATGCATTTCAGACAGCAGCACGAAGCCACGCTATGAATGTAATTAAGTTACAGCGTTCCAAAAGGCTTTCAACAACGAATGTCAAACAGCTCGGCCGATTCCTATTCCAAAATATATCATTCATATTCGAAAACACGTGTTTCCTATTCGATAATTTTGTCATTCCTTTTCGAAAATTATGTGATTCATATGTTATAACGTTGTTGTTCCTATTCGAAAAGATATCCATTTCTATTCGAAAAGATACGATTCTTATATAATAATCTTCTTATTCAATAATTTTGTCTTTCTTATGCGCTGTTTTCTTATTCTTTTTCAATAATTGCATTCTGGAAAATAAATATGATAACAATAGAACTGGTTGTAAACTCAATTCATAGTGATTTAAAAAGTGAAAGTAAGTCTTGGTGGGAATCCTTTGACAGTTGTAGACATATGAAGCAAAACTTCTTTCGTTTTCATTATTCAATGAGCAGAGTCGTTACAATGGAACAATTCATATTACCCAGAATGCTAATATTGAATAAGAATAATAAAAAAAAAAGTGGCATAAGAATAATCAATTTATCGAATAAGACAAGACTATTGAATAGGAATTGTATGTTTTCGAATAGGAATGATATGTTTTTCAATAAGAATTACATGTTTATCGAATATAAATCATTTAATAATGGAATAGGAATAACAATTTATCGAATAGGAATGATGAATTATCGAATAAAATAAACTTTTTTCGCATAAGAATAGCAACTTATCGAATAGGAATCACAATAGGAATGGCATTTTTTAGAATAAGAAAAACAAAATTTTGAATAGGAATAACAAAAAAGTATTATAATGCAACGCTTCACACGCCATACCATATACAGTTGATAGCGGAATATTACTTTACAAAAAAGTAGAGTTCACATTGGAAAAGATGAAATCATTTCTTTTCTTACACAATATAGTTGTCAGTTGGCCTTAATCGTCCACAGTTTGTAAATCTTCAAAATATGAAACAGTTGTGGTACATTCAGTGGTGTCTTAAATTTCAAATTCAGTGGGATATATCGAGTCGACATATGAACTAAAGTAACTATTGTTACTTGATCATACGTCATCGATGTATCAAAATGACGAGTTGAAGGCCAAAGCAAGTGTTATCTTCTTCTCATGTAATTTTTTTTTAGATAAATTCTTCTTCATAGAAATTTAAAAACAGGCCGGCTAATAAAGGAGCACAATTAGTGCCCATCGAAATTCCAAAATCTTGTTGGAAGACCCGGTCTCCTAAGATTACAAAAACGGTGTCAATTAGAGAATGTTCTTTCTGACGTATCCGTATAAGTATCCGTATATGTATCGAGGTGAAAGAGGCATCTCGATCCCGATGTCTAAACTTTTTACTATAATTTCCATCGTTATTTGTTTGGATTTAAAGCAGCCCCATTCATTTAAGAATAGCATATGGTATTTTTTCTAATAAAAATGTATTAAGCTGCTGTAAACGTCTATCTGACTGGAAAATTTCTAAAAAATAGATAATGAAATTAAATAAATTTGTATTTGTTTTCATTATATTGTTTAAAACTTTAATTGCAACTTTGTTTAAAAACATTTATCGGGATCCCCCTCTCTCCATCCTAACATCAGGATATTTTATTGATTGATTCTGTAATTTACATTAGATGACATAAAAGTTAACCTCCCAACCCCCCAACCCCCACTCACACACACACTAAAATGCAAAAGACATCGATATCCACACAATCAATAAAACCGTGAAGCCGCTTCTAGACCCTTACCAGTATATGCTAAAAAATGCCAAGCCCCCCCCCCCCCCCCCAACAGCCCGGGAACACACACAAACTTTCATAGCGTCTGTTGACTTTCTTCATTCTTTTTTTTTCAATGAACTATTCGACAAATAAGTGTATGTCGTCTCCCATTCCCCTCCCCAGCTGAAATTGCTACTTTCGTGCCTATTCTCATACAGCTTGATTTGGCTTTATATTTTGTCCTTTCAGCAGCATTAACTTAAAGACTTCGTGGCGACAGAAAATAGGTAATGAAATGAAAATGCAATTGTTAAATTTGATATTTCCTTTTAGTTCTCTTGTTGTCGTACATACGTATTATAATTCATGGTTTGATATAGGAACTGTTTCAGAATATGGTAATCATTATCTTAACTCTCTTTTTATAAGAAAGAAAAGAACATTAGGCTAAAAAATGCCAAAACAATAGACATCTATTTCTTCTATGCTACCTTGTCCATCCAGCTGATTTTTATTTATTTATTTTATTTTTATTTATTTATTTATGCATTTTGGCCCACATCGGGACAAGTGTGAGTCAATTCAACACGCAGTTTATAGAACTGAAGAGAAGAGGCTGCTTCAACGTAGCAGAGAAATAAAAAACAGAATAAAGGATAAAATTTATACAAAACATTTAATTGATAAAATATCAGCATTTTTTTCAGAGTTTTGGTCCCGCTTGCACACAAAGAATTACAGTCATCTTAATTTCAATAAATAAATCAGTAAGTTAACTTTAGTCAACATGTATATAAAGTAATGTATAAGACATAAACATTGTTCTCCGTTTATCTCCTTTTGTCAACTATTGTTATTCATCCCCGACAAAAACTGCGTGTAATTGTATCACTTTTGGAAATGGTAGTCCTTTCTCAAGCTCTCTAGAATTTCGGATACGGCTATCACCTAACAATTTAGAGAGTTAAGAGTCTTCAAACCACCCCAGAATTGCCAGCTTTCCAAAGCTTTTCTGGAGAACTATGTCCATCAAATATAATCAAATGATATATAGAATGTTGATAATGATAAAAAAGAAAATGAGGATGGAAATTTTCAGTGACTCCCCCCCCCCCCAACACACACACACACACACACATACACACAGAGTATGCAGTATGGTCAAATTAATCTTTCACAGTTAATGTATCCGTAATTATTTTTGTGGAAAAGAGGAACTCAAAACTTAATATCCATCCCCCACACACACATATCCCCCGTAATAGTAACTATTAAATAATAAGGTGTAGAAATTAATCAAAATCCTAAAAAAACAGTAAGGCAGTTTTTTAGGATTTTGATTAATTTCTACACCTTTTTATTGTCAAAGTTTTGCTAAGGTGACTTGTCATTTTTTGGTTTCTCCCTGCCTCGGCCCAGCTTCCCCCTTCTCCACTTTGTTAATCAATTTTAAGTGTTTGCTTGATGTAGACAAACTTATACTCATCTAGAATAATTGATCTCTGACACCTCGTACAGTTAAACTTTGTTAACTCAAATTCTTGAATATATCGAAGTTTTAATTGGTCCAATCAAGTCTGAGATAACGAGCACTGACTGTATGCATTATGGGGAATATGTCTTGTGTTGGTAAAG